GAGAAGAGGTATGCATTATACTTCTCCCTCTAAAACCTCTTCTCTCTCTCACTCGCTTTTTTGTACACTTCCTTAAGATCTTGTGGTGCCTTTCCTCATACTGAGTAGTACGTTACTCCATGAGTAATCCTAGTGATTTTCATAAGTAGACTAACAGAGTTAGATATTATTCCTTGTAAAGAAAAGCAGCGGAATTGGGCTTGATTTAAAAAAAAATTAACATTTTTCTAATTTCATTTTTAAACAAAAACTGTCTTAGAATTATGAGGAAATGTAGAGTTGTTTCCCCTCAAAAATAAACCACGTATTTGCTTACTGTAACCAATATTTATTTATAATATTGAAACTTTCTTTTTTGCCAGCCCTCATACAGGTCTTTCTAGTAGACATGCAGTGTGTGCTGCTGCAACGCACCAGGTGCTCCAGCCTATACAAACCTTTATACTGATCAAGTCCGTAGTGTGCGACTCTGCACTGAGTGGTAAGGAGCCATCCTTGCCACGAGGCGTATCGGGAAGTCTCAAGGCATGCCTGCTACTACACTCCTTTATTGTGGTGAAGCTTGTTCCCTTCTGCATGCTGATCCATCTCCATAGGCTAGGGCCTACATCCTTCCAATCCTTTGGGAAATCATGTGTCCCCTGGGCAGTAGAATAGTGAAGTCCCTTTTCTCCCCAGAATGCACAGCCTGCATTCCTCTATGGCCCTTTCATGGATCACAAGGTGCCCTCTTGTACTTCCCACCACATAGGGTCTAGTCAGAATATTGTCCTAAGCGTCTCTAGTACCTGCCTTCAAGTTCACGAGACACCTGGCATGCCATCAGGTGTGTGGTGTACCAGAGCAGCCCAAAGAAGAGAGAGGTAGAATACACTAGGTAAATGGTGATGATGATGTCACTCATCTGAGCATAGAAAAAGAAAGTCTGCAACTCAACTTCCTCAAGATCAGAGGGAGCAAATGACCGATGCATACTTGGTAGAATACAGGGCTAAATAAATTTCAAACAACAGCCATAGACCGTTTTACTCTGGAACTCTTATAATGAAATGTAAAGAAATTCTAAAAACGCACAGTTAAGGCATTACATTTTCAAACCCTAATTTTTTTCTGACACATGAAACCCAACTATGCCAGCATTCTTGTCGAACACTAAGAATCCAGCAATGCAACAGCTCTTTTTAGAGAGACTGCATGCCAAGTTGGAGACTTACTGATGTTTCCTTCATCTGGAAAGGAAATTGGAAGACACTAACTCCCTTTGTTAACTACTTGAATAGACTCCATAATACAGCCAGTTTCCAGCCTCATTCAGCATGACACAAATTAATTATTTGGATGGAACTGGACAAGGAAAAAAGTGGAAAGAGAACCAACTCCACAGGGGCATAGCCTAAGCCAACAGCTGAGAACAATTTTCTGCACACAACTAGTTTTCACTCACAAGTGCTTAAAAAGGCCCTGCTCTATAGACAGTGTAGTTGTCTCAAAAGATTTGTATCATAAAAGTTATCATTTTGGGGAAAAAGGAGAGGACATGGCTCAGACTGCTCAGCAGGATGTGCAACACTGTAAATAAATAAATTAGATACAGCCATGTAAAAAGCTCTCGGTGCAGAGTAGACAAAACAGCTGTGGAAACAGCATGTAGAAGAAAAAGCTGCTCCGTGAAGAAGTACGGATTATATAATGTAGAGGGTTTTTTTTTTCTTTGCTAAGTTGTCGAACAAAGTCATCACATAAACTGTTAAAAAATGTTTTTGGAACATTAGTGCTAATAAAAAGGAGGAAATAAAGTACAGCTAGCAAGGGACAAGCCCTGTGCTAACTTCAAACAACTATGCTCCCCCATGTTGCCCCAAAATCACGTTTCATGCTATTCCAAAGGACATCATGCTAATAGTTCTGAAGTGAGCCAAAGCGTTCCATGATTTTTCACTGTGAACGAATATCCATGAAGGGATGTCTGGGATTTTCAAAGGCGCTTAGAGGCCTAATAACAATGGGATTTGGGTTCCGACCTCCCCAGGGCTCTTTTGAAAATCATGGTCTAAGGTGACAGTATGAAACTATGTTTCTTCTAAGTCAAACGCTCTTCCTAACCTACTGCATTGCTGGGTCCCAGCAGCAGGAAAGCAAGCCTTAAAGTCACTAAAATAAGGGACTGGAGAAGGGATGAATGGGAGCTCAGTGAAAATTGTTCTTCCTGAGCACTCACCACATGCTGCCTATGTGAGATAGTTTTACTAAGAGCTCAGTTCGTCACACGTGTCTAAACTAACCCACATAAAAGTCATCTCTCTTTTAGGTCAGAAAGTATTTGCACTGGTGATTCAAGAGGGATCACAAAGGTGTTGACACAAAGGGTATGTCTACACTATGGAATAAGGTCCAATTTATAGAAGTCGGTTTTTTAGAAATCGGTTTTATATATTCGAGTGTGTGTGTGTCCCCACAGAAAATGCTCTAAGTGCATTAAGTGCATTAACTCGGCGGAGTGCTTCCACAGTACCGAGGCAAGCGTCGACTTCTGGAGCGTTGCACTGTGGGTAGCTATCCCACAGTTCCCGCAGTCTCCGCTGCCCATTGGAATTCTGGGTTGAGATCCCAATGCCTGATGGGGCTAAAACATTGTCGCGGGTGGTTCTGGGTACATATCGTCAGGCCCCCCTTCCCTCCCTCCCTCCGTGAAAGCAAGGGCAGACAATCGTTTCGCGCCTTTTTTCCTGAGTTACCTGTGCAGATGCCATAACACGGCAAGCATGGAGCCCGCTCAGGTAACCGTCACCGTATGTCTCCTGGGTGCTGGCAGACGTGGTACTGCATTGCTACACAGTAGCAGCAACCCATTGCCTTGTGGCAGCAGATGGTACAGTACGACTGGTAGCCGTCATCGTCATGTCCGAGGTGCTCCTGGCCACGTCGGCCATGAGCGCCTGGGCAGACATAGGCGCAGGGACTAAATTTGGAGTGACTTGACCAGGTCATTCTCTTTAGTCCTGCAGTCAGTCCTATTGAACCGTCTTATGGTGAGCAGGCAGGCGATACGGATTGCTAGCTGTCCTATTGTATCATCTTCTGCCGGGCAGGCAAGAGATGAGGATGGCTAGCAGTCCTACTGCACCATCTTCTGCCGAGCAGCCATGAGATGTGGATGGCATGCAGTCCTTCTGCACCGTCTGCTGCCAGCCAAAGATGTAGAAGATAGATGGAGTGGATCAAAACAAGAAATAGACCAGATTTGTTTTGTACTCATTTGCCTCCTCCCCCATCTAGGGGACTCATTCCTCTAGGTCACACTGGAGTCACTCACAGAGAAGGTGCAGCGAGGTAAATCTAGCCATGTATCAATCAGAGGCCAGACTAACCTCCTTGTTCCAATAAGAACAATAACTTAGGTGCACCATTTCTTATTGGAACCCTCCGTGAAGTCCTGCCTGAAATACTCCTTGATATGAAGCCACCCCCTTTGTTGATTTTAGCTCCCTGAAGCCAACCCTGTAAGCTGTGTCGTCAGTCGCCCCTCCCTCCGTCAGAGCAACGGCAGACAATCGTTCCGCGCCTTTTTTCTGTGCGGAGGCCATACCAAGGCAAGCATGGAGGCCGCTCAGCTCACTTTGGCAATTAGGAGCACATTAAACACCACACGCATTATCCAGCAGTATATGCAGCACCAGAACCTGGCAAAGTGATACCGGGCGAGGAGGCGACGTCAGCGCGGTCACGTGAGTGATCAGGACATGGACACAGATTTCTCTGAAAGCATGGGCCCTGCCAATGCATGCATCATGGTGCTAATGGGGCAGGTTCATGCTGTGGAACGCCGATTCTGGGCTCGGGAAACAAGCACAGACTGGTGGGACCGCATAGTGTTGCAGGTCTGGGACGATTCCCAGTGGCTGCGAAACTTTCGCATGCGTAAGGGCACTTTCATGGAACTTTGTGACTTGCTTTCCCCTGCCCTGAAGCGCATGAATACCAAGATGAGAGCAGCCCTCACAGTTGAGAAGTGAGTGGCGATAGCCCTGTGGAAGCTTGCAACGCCAGACAGCTACCGGTCAGTTGGGAATCAATTTGGATTGGGCAAATCTACTGTTGGGGCTGCTGTGATGCAAGTAGCCCACTCAATCAAAGATCTGCTGATATCAAGGGTAGTGACCCTCGGAAATGTGCAGGTCATAGTGGATGGCTTTGCTGCAATGGGATTCCCTAACTGTGGTGGGGCCATAGACGGAACCCATATCCCTATCTTGGCACCGGAGCACCAAGCCGCCGAGTACATAAACCGCAAGGGGTACTTTTCGATAGTACTGCAAGCTCTGGTGGATCACAAGGGACGTTTCACCAACATCAACGTGGGATGGCCGGGAAAGGTACATGACGCTCGCATCTTCAGGAACTCTGGTCTGTTTCAAAAGCTGCAGGAAGGGACTTTATTCCCAGACCAGAAAATAACTGTTGGGGATGTTGAAATGCCTATATGTATCCTTGGGGACCCAGCCTACCCCTTAATGCCAGGGCTCATGAAGCCATACACAGGCAGCCTGGACAGTAGTCAGGAGCTGTTCAACTACAGGCTGAGCAAGTGCAGAATGGTGGTAGAATGTGCATTTGGACGTTTAAAGGCGCGCTGGCGCAGTTTACTGACTCGCTTAGACCTCAGCGAAACCAACATTCCCACTGTTATTACTGCTTGCTGTGTGCTCCACATATCTGTGAGAGTAAGGGGGAGATGTTTATGGCGGGGTCGGAGGTTGAGGCAAATCGCCTGGCTGCTGGTTACGTGCAGCCAGACACCAGGGCGGTTAGAAGAGCACAGGAGGGCGCGGTACGCATCAGAGAAGCTTTGAAAACCAGTTTCATGACTGGCCAGGCTACGGTGTGAAAGTTCTGTTTGTTTCTCCTTGATGAAACCCCCTGCCCCTTGGTTCATTCTACTTCCCTGTAAGCTAACCACCCTCCCCTCCTCCCTTCGATCACTGCTTGCAGAGGCAATAAAGTCATTGTTGCTTCACATTCATGCATTCTTTATTCATTCATCACACAAATAGGGGGATGACTACCAAGGTAGCCCAGGAGGGATGGTGGAGGAGGGAAGGAAAATGCCACACAGCACTTTAAAAGTTTACAACTTTAAAATTTATTGAATGCCAGCCTTCTTTTTTTTGGGCAATCCTCTGTGGCAGAGTGGCTGGTTGGCCGGTGGCCCCCCCGCTGCATTCTTGGGCGTCTGGGTGTGGAGGCTATGGAACTTGGGGAGGAGGGCGGTTGGTTACACAGGGACTGTAGTGGCAGTCTGTGCTCCAGCTGCCTTTGCTGCAGCTCAACCATACACTGGAGCATACTGGTTTGGTCCTCCAGCAGCCTCAGCGTTGAATCCTGCCTCCTCTCATCACGCTGCCGCCACATTTGAGCTTCAGCCCTGTCTTCAGCCCGCCACTTACTCTCTTCAGCCACCACTTACTCTCTTCAGCCCACCACCTCTCCTCCCGGTCATTTTGTGCTTTCCTGCACTCTGACATTATTTGCCTCCATGCATTCGTCTGTGCTCTGTCAGTGTGGGAGGACAGCATGAGCTCAAAGAACATTTCATCTCGAGTGCATTTTTTTTTCTTTCTAATCTTCACTAGCCTCTGGGAAGGAGAAGATCCTGTGATCACTGAAACATATGCAGCTGGTGGAGAAAAAAAAAGGGACAGCGGTATTTAAAAAGACACATTTTATAAAACAGTGGCTACACTCTTTCAGGGTAAACCTTGCTGTTAACATTACATACATAGCACATGTGCTTTCGTTACGAGGTCACATTTTGCCTCCCCCCACCGCGTGGCTACCCCTCAACCCTCCCCCCTCCCCGTGGCTAACAGCGGGGAAACATTTCTGTTTAGCCACAGGCAAACAGCCCAGCAGGAACGGGCTCCGCTGAGTGTCCCCTGAAGACAAGCACCCTATTTCAACCAGGTGACCATGAATTATATCTCACTCTCCTGAGGATAACACAGAGAGATAAAGAATGGATGTTGTTTGAACGCCAGCAAACATACACTGCAATGCTTTGTTGTACAATGATTCCCGAGTACGTGTTACTGGCCTGGAGTGGTAAAGTGTCCTACCATGAAGGATGCAATAAGGCTGCCCTCCCCAGAAACCTTTTGCAAAGGCTTTGGGAGTACATCCAGGAGAGCCGCGAATGCCAGGACAAAGTAATCCTTTCACATGCTTGCTTTTAAACCATGTATAGTATTTTAAAAGGTACACTCACCGGAGGTCCCTTCTCCACCTGCCGGGTCCAGGAAGCAGCCTTGGGTGGGTTCAGGAAGTACTGGCTCCAGGTCCAGGGTGAGAAACAATTCCTGGCTGTCGGGAAAACCAGTTTCTCCGCTTGCTTGCTGTGAGCTATCTTCTTCATCCCCAAAACCTGCTTCCGTGTTGCCTCCATCTCCATTGAAGGAGTCAAACAACACGGCTGGGGTAGTGGTGGCTGAACCTCCTAAAATGGCATGCAGCTCATCATAGAAGCGGTATGTTTGGGGCTCTGACCCAGAGCGGCCGTTCGCCTCTCTGGTTTTCTGGTAGGCTTGCCTCAGCTCCTTAAGTTTCATGCAGCACTGCTTCGGGTCCCTGTTATGGCCTCTGTCCTTCATGCCCTGGGAGATTTTGACAAAGGTTTTGGCATTTCGAAAACTGGAATGGAGTTCTGATAGCACGGATTCCTCTCCCCATACAGGAATCAGATCCCATACCTCCCGTTCGGTCCATGCTGGAGCTCTTTTGCAATTCTGGGACTCCATCATGGTCACCTCTGCTGATGAGCTCTGCATGGTCACCTGCAGCTTGCCACGCTGGCCAAACAGGAAATGAGATTCAGAAGTTCACGGTTCTTTTCCTGTCTACCTGGCCAGTGCATCTGAGTTGAGAGTGCTGTCCAGAGCGGTCACAAGGGAGCACTCTGGGATAGCTCCCGCTCCCGAAGGCCAATACCGTCGATCTGTGTCCACAGTATCCCAAATTCGAGCCGGCAAGGCTGATTTAAGCGCTAATCCACTTGTCAGGGGTGGAGTAAGGAAATCGATTTTAAGAGCCCTTTATAAGAGCCCAAAATAAAGGGCTTCATCGTGTGGACAGGTGCAGGTTTACATCAATTTAACGCTGCTAAATTCGACCTACAGTCCTAGTGTAGACCAGGGCAAAGGTCTTTAGAAAGTATTTATTCACATAGCAGTTCCCATACTTAGAGAGGAGAATGCAGGAGCAATTAGCATTCACTTAGGGCTGATCTACACTGAAATCCTACATCAGCCTAACTACATCTCTCAGGGGTGTGGGGAATCCCTCCGGTTGCTGTAGTATGGGTCTACACTGAAGTGTTGCTGCAGCTGTGCCAATGTAGTGTTTCAAGGGCAGACAAGCCCTTAAGCTTCTTGGCAATGTTGGGCCAATGACTCTCCTTTGCTGCGCTGGTGCAAAATTGGGACAGGGAATAGAGAAGGCGTAGGAGCCTTCGTCTTCTCTGCTCCCATGCAAGCAGCAGGGAGAATACCCCTTGAGCACTCTGGAGAGCTCTAGGTCTGGGGCTTGGCTACTAAGTCAGCCCGTGCACCATAGCACCAAAGGGGCATGGCCTGCTACTCACACCACGCAGACCCAGCACACGAGCTGTCTGTCACCTGCCGTTAGCAGACCATGCTAGCTGCAGCATGCACATCTTCTTTTCAGCACAGCAGTTTAAGTGTCCACCACTGCACATCCCCTAAGCCAGTCCCATGGAACCATGTCCATACTGTCAAGATTTCTGGAGCTGAAGAAATATCTACCAGTGCCATTGCTCTGAGCCACCCGAACAGCCAGGATGGGATCTGGGCCTTTGTATTATAAGTATTTACATTCCTAATTCAAAATGACTAAGGAGGCTTCAGAGTAACAGCTGTGTTAGTCTGTATTCGCAAAAAGAAAAGGAGTACTTGTGGCACCTTAGAGACTAACCAATTTTGGTTAGTCTCTAAGGTGCCACAAGTACTCCTTTTCTTTAAGGAGGCTTGTTTACTTAACATCTATGAGTTAGGAGCAAAGACCAAACTTACCTGGCTGATCATAGGAAGCCCACGCTAGATTTTCTCCACATTTTCCATTTGAAGACTCAGGGCTGTGTTGGAGGACCCTGGTGCTAGCCAGTGTTTCTGCATACCTAGCAAAGGAATCATATGCCAGTGACAGAGCAGTACCAGCTAATATCGCATGCAGAGAGCAGTCACACTGACCTGGGGGTTTATAATCCTGTTACTGAATTTCCAGGTGCCTAAAGTAGTGGGTGCTCCGAGATCAACACAGATCTCAGCAGCATGAGGAGAAGAGTCCAGAGCCCTTCTGCCTTCTTATTGCCTCTAGGGCCTCTGCACTTCTATTACAGCATGACTCTCTGCCACAGAGGCTTTGGAGGCAATAAGGTACAAAGTCTCATGTCACTGAGATCTGCGTAGATCCTGGAGAATCCAGGAGCTGCAGCCTCTGCCACTTCTGTGTATGGAGAAGAGCCTGCAGAAACTGCTGTAAGTGCCAATTCCTATAGTTTTTAGTCCCCTGTATAGGAAAAATCTGCATAGGGACAATATGGATTATAAATTAGAATATATTTGGGGGCAGGGTTCCCAAGTCCCCGGCCAGAAGCTATTAAGAGAACAAATTAATTGTGGTATAAGAGGTAAATAGTCATGGATTAGAGACTGTTTAAGAGACAAAAAAGAGTGAGCAGTAAATAAATAGTCAATTTTCAGTGTGGACAGAGGTGATTTCAAAGCATTTAAGCCCAGAAGAACCATTAGATCATCTAGTCCAGCGACTCCCAAACCGCAGTACATGAACACGGGATGGGAGCCTGTTGGAAGGGTTACATCCAAAACTCTAAAAAACCCTTTCGGTTTCAAAGGAACAGTCGTTGCCTGCACTGCGGAGGCCAAAAAATGCCCAAGAAGCAACATGTATCGGGGGTAGCCATGTTAGTCTGTGTCCACAAAACCAATGAGGAGTCCGGTGGCACCTTAAAGACTAATAGATTTATTTGGGCAAAGGCTTTCGTGGCTAAAAAACCCACTTCTTCAGATGCACCATGAAAGCTTTTTTTTAACCCCAATAAATCTGTTAGTCTTTAAGGTGCCACTGGACTTCAAGAAGCCACATGGCACTTTCAGCCACAAAGGTGAATGACTTGCCAATTGCTCCGGTGCAGTAGTTTTATTCGGTGGTGTGTTGAGTGCTGTGGCTGTCCACAGGGGCGCTCTACTCTCACCAGACACCCAGCTTGCTGCCTTTCTGATATATTATTATTTGCGTCACTGTAGTGCCTAGGAGCCTCAGTCACGGACCAGGCCCCAGTTGTGCTAGGCACTGCACACAGAACAGAAGGCCAGACTAGTCTTCTACTTGTACTGGGCTGCACTGCTCAAGTTATTGTAGCAAACTTGCAAAGTTCCCTGTCGTGCCACAAGAGCTCCTCTCATCCGAAAAGACACAGACAGGCAGGGCTGGTTCAGGGCAGCTGCAAAGCTCACAGTCACAGGGAACCATGGGATTGAAGGCCTCCTTACCCCCACCACACACATAAGTAACCGCTGCAGAGTTCCTTTGTACTTCCTGCCCCACAGAGGCTGAGGCCTGACCCCTGCAGAGCTGGAAGGCAGGGGATGCATGCAGAATGCCCCCTGTCTCTGCAGGGAGGCCAGGAGGGTGGGGTGGCAGCTGGTCAAGTCCAGTGAATAAAAGCCTGGCTACAGGACTAAGCAGAGTCACAGTGCTCTGGCTGCAATCTGAGCTTCATCCTAAGAGTGGGGGCCACTGTGCAGTTTGCCAAGGATTGCAGATGTCCATGGGCCCTGTTTGGGCATGGAGGCTAGAACTGCTGAGGAGCAAAAGGTCTCCTGGAGCTGAACCTGCCTGGTGCCCAGATAAAGGCCCCAACTTCCAGCAAAGACTCTTCCACCATCGCTTAAAGTGGAGGGGGCAGGAAGGAGCATGCAAAAGATGACAGACCTAGCAAAAGAAATTTAAACTCAAGCTGGGTTGCTGAGGGGTGCACTGTAAGCACTGTTTTACCAAAGGTGCTGCTCCCAGGTTATGATAGAACCCCCACCCCTTCTTTCAGACAACTTTAAGCACTGTCCTCACCTCTCTACCCTACCCCCTGAGTCCCCCAGCCCTTTCACACATATACGCCCCCTTCTCATTAATGGTACTGTTCTTTTTCTCTGAGAGCTACTCAAAGTATTTTGTGTTTTTCTTGATTTACATCTTGCGAAAGGAAAACAAGTGACCTTTGGCTTGTGTTCAGTGACCATCCAGATAAGAATTAGCAGGAACTCTGAATTTAAATGAGATGATTTAAAAAGTCAAGCCACTGCATGTAGTACAACCGCATACTGACACAGATCAGTGCATCATGGATGAGATATTTAACTGTTTCTTGTAATCCGAGTACTACAAAAGGCCAATAATAATAATGGCTGCTTCAATGTGCTGCTTCTTGTTGCACTGTCTAAAAACCTGAGATGTTTTCAAATGATATTATAATCAAATATTTTAGGCTTCTGTATGCATTTATTTTTCTATAGATTCTGGAAATGCATAAGGTAAGCCTATTAAGGCCTAAAATAAATATGCACAACAAGGATAAATTTTCATGTGGTATCTCAAACATACATTTTTTTAGGAAGGTAGTATGTGAATCAGTCCAGTTTGGGAGCCATAGATCTACTCTGTCCTCATGTCTATCACTCGGCATTTCACACAGAGACCTCTAAACTGAACCCAGTGATGTATTAATTTTTTTTAATAAAAAAAGCATTTCAGTCATCAGGAGACTAAACTGTTGTGTGCCACAAGCAGAAGAGGAGAGACCAAGGTGCCACCAATGCCCAAGTTTTCTGTGAAGTCTTCTGCACAGTGGGAGGCATCAGTTAATGACAGGGAATTGCTTGATTGAGGGTGTACAGCGAAGTTGTCCAAGGTGCTCTACTAGGACCGGTATTTAATATATTAATGATTGGAATAGGGGCTTACATCTGCAATAACACAAAAGTTATTAGGTGCTTGTAGTGCCTGTTTACACTAGTATCTGAGTGCCTTCCAAAGTTAAAATAAATAAATACTGTACACCAAGGCGACTAACATCAGTCAAGCAAAGGTTTCTCTCCGTTCCATGCCATACTGGGAAAAGTTAAGTGGTAAATTAGTCAAGAACAGAGAGGATTGTGAGGAATTCCAGAACTTAACAATACTACACAATTGGGCAGCACAATGGCAGATGACATTCAATAGAGACAAATGCAAGGTAATACACATTTGAAAGAATAATTTGAACTATTCATAAACATTGTTGTCTATATTAACTGTAATCATGCAGGAGAAGACCTAGGGTGGCTGTGGACAACCCAGTGTAAGGCAATCAGTTAAAATACCAAAAATTTAGGATGCATAAAGAATGGGTTAGAGAACAGTAAGAATATTACTGTTTATATACAATCAATAGTGTGGCACCACCTGGAATATTGGGCTAAGTTCTGGTCACTTAAAGAAAAGGAGTACTTGTGGCACCTTAGAGACTAACTAATTTATTTGAGCATAAGCTTTCGTGAGCTACAGCTCACTACAGGACTCGGATGCATACTGTGGAAACTGCATTCTGGTCACTGCATCTCAAAAAGAATATGAGAGAAGTAGGAGTCGGATAACACAACAAATTTTGAAGCATTTTTTAAAATCAAGCCCTAATTAACCTGGGGTTCTCACTACTGCATGATTTATTGAGGTCAAAATTTAGTAATACTCAAAAATGATTTATTGATATAGATAACAAGAAGACTTGTTTACTACACAGTTACATTAGAAGGATAAAAGGATATAAGCTTACATGCTTTAGGACACAAACCAACCACTATCTATCTGTCAGGAGTAGAAAGAAACTTATTTTAAGGGTCGGTTATTTCATATATTGTCCATTCTCAGATTTTGTATACCTTCTTTTGTATGATCTAGTACACCTACTTTCAGGGACCCTAGAAAGACTAGTGTGCTGATGCAGTGTGGTAGTTCCTACGTTTCTAAAAGAGGATTTCTTCCGTCCTCCTTCCCTCAGAGCACAAAATAGTAGTCTCACAAAAATGTGTATTAATCAAAGCTCTGGTCTTATTATATTAGTCAAAGCTCTGTGAAATTATTGTATCTCTCCACTATTCCATCTCCAGAATAGGGTACTTTTGGAGATGACAAGAGTAGGATCCTGGGATGCATAGACAGGGGAATCTCGAGTAGGAGTAGAGAGGTTATTTTATCCCTGTATTTGGTACTGGTGCAACCACTAGTGGAATACTGTGTCCAATTCTGGTGCCCACAATTTGTGAAGAATGTTGATAAACTGGAGAGGGTTCAGAGAAGAACCATAAGAATGATTAAAGCATTAGAAAACATGCCTTACAGTGATAAGACTCAAGAAGCAAAATCTATTTATCTTAAGAGAAGATTAAGAGGTAACTTGATTGCCATGTATAAGTACCTATGAGGGAAACCAATATTTAATAATGGACTCTTCAGTCTAACAGAGAAAGATGTAACACACTCCAATGGATGGAAGTTGAAGTTAGACCAATTCAGACTGGAAATAAGGTGTAAATTTTTAACAGTGAGAGTGGTGGGTTCTCCATTACTGGCATTTTTAAAATCAAAACTGGATGTTTTGCTAAAAGATCTGCTTTAGGAATTATTTGGGGGAAGTTCTATGGTCTGTGCTATACAGGAGGTCAGACTAGACTATCAGAATGGTCCCTTCTGGCCTTAGAAGCTAGGAATATGAATACCTCCACCACCATGAGAGATTCACTGGTACGGAAGCATCATTTATGGAAGCATCATACATTGGAGGCAACACCTCAACAAAAGACAATACATGGCAAAGTGCACATATTTCTGGGCTATGCATAGGCAATCCCAGCGCTGGGTAATAGAATAAATAGAATGTGCTATGCTTAATTCATATATGTGATAAAAGTCTCATTACAAGAAAGGAAGGGTTGAACTCACTGTTGTGCTCCACTGTTTAACTTCTTGCAAAGCTTCAGTGGCGGGACGCCATGCTTCTTCCTGTAGTCATTGTGGGCTTTTAAGACCTCTTCAGCAAATTGTTTGGAAGCTGAAATAATGCAAAATATTGGAAAGGTCTATCAAATACAGGCTTCATTAAAATCAGGAAAAGAAAACTTGAAATATATTGGGAAGCTGGTAGAGCACTCTGAATGAATCCAAAGAATACTGTGTGCGCTGTTCAGTGAAATAACAACAGAGCTGTACCACCCTAATTACCTATGAGCAGAATGAAATGAAGCCAGAAATATAGCAAGTGCTTTACATCTAAGAATTTTGAAAGGTGTTATATATATTTAAATACCTACCTATGACCTCAAGAGGGAGTTATGTGGGTTTATTGATTAATGCCTGCAGAACACAGAACAATAAGGCTCTTTTACACCATGGTAGCAGTGTAAAAAGGTCTTAAAGTAAGCATAATTTAAGGCCCTTTTATACTGCTAGGTCATAAGTGTAACCTGAGTGTAAATCAGAATCAGGCCTTTTGAGATACTTTTTTGGAAGGACACTATATAAGTAGCATTATATTATGATGATGAATAAAAATAAAGGAGTTTTTTATACAGGACCATTCTACATATGTCAACCCCCCCTGTACAGATAGTCAAAAGACTATGTTAAGATATATGCAAATATTTTGAAGTATACATTGCATAAAGTCACTCTCCCCCCCACACCACTCCCCATCACCCAGTACTAGAAAAAAAATGTATGAGGAATTGAAAATACAAATCAGGGGTTAAAGACTGAAACAATCACCACAAATATTGAGAGGCGAGACAGGAAAGGATTGTTTTGTTTCTTGTAAAAATTTGCTTTTTCAAAAACTTTAAGATGTTTATTTTTATACCCTGGTAATCTTCACCTTTAAGACAGCAAACAAGGGGTGAATAAGTAGTGATATATGGTGTCACTGGAATAGTGAAGCAGGAGCAACTCACTTTGCTGACGGCAGTAAGAAGTTTGCAGAGACTGGAGTTTCCTAGATGCAATGAGCCAAAAAGCCATTAGGAAAGGTTTCAAAAAATGAACAAGGGAAATTTTGAGACATCATAGATTTACAACGGTTTTGCTGAATTTTTCCAAACTTCACAGAGAAACTATACTTTAGGATAAGCTGTGGTGTGTGAAGTTTCAGTTTCTTTTGGGGACGGTTTGGATTTGAAAAAGAAAAAAATATATATACAAACCTTAAATGGGAAGCTAGTTTCAACTTTAACTACTGCTGCTCTACAAGAGGACAATTCCCATTAGAATGTTAATTCCAACTCCCCAGTGATGCAGGATTGTTCACTATTATCCATTTAATTATGTTTTATCGAGTCTATTTTTAAATATCCTAAACAACAGGACTTCCAACTCTTCCCCTGTAAAATCATTTCCAGTTTATTTCACCTCCTGGTTGGGAAGTTTTTCCTGTTATTAACCTTATGTTTTCCTAAATTTCTTCTCAATACACTGCCTGCAGAGGCTGGGGAGCTGAGTGGGCCGCTCCGAGCTCTGGGGGCCCCCACTGACTGTGCGGGTTCGGAGCTCCAGGGTCCCCCCACCACCTGCAGTGGCCGGAGCTTTGAAGGACCCAGGGTGGCTCGAAGCTCCTGGGTCCCTTGCCTCTCTGAGCTCTGGGGTCCCCACTGCCTGCGTTGGGCTGGGAGCGGGGGAGGGAGGCGGCCACCTGAAACAGCTCAGAGCTGTGGGGGCCCCTGCCGACCACATCGGCCAGGAGCTCTCAGAGGGCCCACACCACTGGCCGGGAGCTACTGGGGGCCCCTGCTGCCTGCGGCGGCCAGGAGCTGCATCCCCGCTCCCGTGGCGGCTGGACGCTCCGAGGGGCCTGTGGCCACGGAGGGTGGCAGGAGGACCTGCAGCTCCTGGCTGACAGGGCTGAATTCATGGAGGTCGCTGGAAGTCATGGATTCCGTGTCTTCTGTGATCTCCATGGAAAAATTTTAGCCTTAGTTATGTACAGTAAAATGACAGGTGTACATTCGTCAGAAGACACTATGAATGAGTGTTGAGTGGCAGAACAGTGTGATTTGCACCAGTTTGACATTAAATAAACATTAAACTAATCCCTGAAATAAAGATTAACAACTTCCACTGAAGTCAATGTGACTTGTGTTCACTTATGCAGGTCTGAATTTGGCAATGGGAGTTTTCTGGGTGATGTAACTTTATTAAAAGAAACCAGCCTAGCATCCTCCCCTACATCTTCCTGTAAGATGTTTTTCCTTCCACTTGTATTCTGTACTCACTTTTCATACCTTTAAATGCCAAATTGGTGCCAGTTATACCACTTTTCCTCTTAAACTCACATACACCCATTTTCTGAACAATTTACGCCACCATTTTTGTTATCACTGAATTTGGCTCAGAGATTGCTTTAGGAGTTGCATCTGCATGCTCCAAGCTGCACTTGCCGGAATAAGAGCCATACTACTGCATGCAACAACTAATCAAATTCCACGATGACTGACTGATGTCATCTACAGTGGATTAGCACTTCTGTCCTGTATCAAACAGTGGAAAATCTTGGACAGCAAGGGAGAGAGCTTTTATTCAAATACAAATTGTGACAGATGCTTTTGAAACATGTGTTAGGATATAGATATGCAGGCCTATCTGTAAAGGCCTATACTTTAAAACTTTAGGTGTATTCTTATCACTTAGCTAGTTATAGAGGTACAAAACAAGAATCAAAATCACAGTCTACCTGTTTATAGGCCTTCTCTCACTATGATAGTCTAAGGCCATATTCTTAGGCTAAGATCTTTGGCTAAGCAGCAGAGGCAGCCATAAGCTGGGAAGTGTATGGTCACATCCTCACATATCAAACTCGTCACATTGAAATAAGGCAATCTAGGGCTCTTAAAAAGGTGATCGGATCTATCACCTCCAGAGAAAGGGAAGAGCCTAGAAGATTTAAAGGAAACTTAGTTTGATAGCACCCTATCCGGCAAGAACTCACTTATCAATAGGTGGGATGTGAAATCCTCATTTCTTTGTTGTTCTATCACTGTAGTCCCTATTTCCCTATTGTTTGTCTGTATAATCTCTGTTTGGTTCTGTGATTGTTTCTGTCTGCTGTATAATTAATTTTGCTGGGTGTAAACTAAATAAGGTGGTGGGATATAATTGGTTAGATAATCATGTTACAATATGTTAGGATTGGTTAGTTAAATTTCAGTAAAATGATTGGTTAAGGTAAAGCTCAGCCGAACTCAAGTTTTACTATATAGTCTACAGTCAATCAGGAAGTAAGGGGGGGAATGGGAACAAGGAATGGGGGTGGGGGAATTGGAATCATGTTTTGCTGAAGGGGGGAATGGGAACAGGGACACAGGCAAGGCTCTGTGGTGTCAGAGCTGGGAAGGGGGACACTAAGGAAGGAAATTGGAATCATTGCTTGCTGGAAGTTCACCCCAATAAACATTGAATTGTTTGCACCTTCAGACTTCGGTTATTGTTGCTCTCTGTTCATGCGAGAAGGACCATGGAAGTAAGCAGGTGAAGGAATAAGCCCCCTAACAACATGGACTATTCAATGACTATTATATAAATGTTATATGTATCTTTGTGGGCTTGCAAGTGAGCATCCCTGGCTCAATGGGTAAGTTAAAAATGTTTCCTGCAGTAAATCAATGGATGACAGTTAATGAAAATCCCCAATTCTGAAACAATGCAGATAAGTTTTTGAAATTACGTCTCCTTGCAGAAATAGCGTATATTGGTTTGACCTAGTTCAAGAAGCCTACGAATACAGAGGACCTGAAACTGTACACAGTGACAGCCCTGACCTGGGAGAGGGTCATTCACACTTGATCAAAGAGCTGACATGAGTCTGTGCCCATAGACAGGCCCTGTGAGAGGACCTGAAGTGCTTTAAAGCCTGCCAGGGTTTCCATATGAAAGATGGATGACCACCTGAAAAACCATGAGCTTATGAGCTGTTTATTGTTTTTAAGATATGTTTGAGCTGAAATGTTTTTGTTCTAAAAAAATAGTATGCTACTTTATGAGAGCTGGTTGGTCACTGAATAACCTTGTCATTGCCTCTGAAGTGAGAGGTGCTGAGGTGATCACAGAATGACAGGTATGTAGTCATGTCTGGAGGGAGAGGATTGTGGGATCTTGCCCTGAGAAAGGTGACAGCTAAAGGCCTAAGACCTAATGAGATACACTCATGGGGACCATGGAGGTTTAGAAGTATAGTTAACTCAGGAACTGTGACACAAATATCTCCAATAACAGCAAGAGCAAAAGAGAAAAATACTAGCCAAAGAGTCCAGAGATTTACAAGATCACGTAAATAGTCACTCAACGTATTAGCAGAAACATAGCACTGAAAATTATTTTTGCACTCACATTTTGGCTTACAAAAGCAAATAAGTAACAGACACAGCTGACAATACCAACAATTTCCTCAAGGCTTAGCAAAGATGACTTAATTTTTGCCTAGAGTTTCTCTGTCTCTTTCTCTGCTCTTTTCCCACTCCCACAAAAAAGCTACTATAGAACAACTATATAAATGAGCAATTATCCACCATGATCTCAGGGCCATGTGCTATTTTTGCTCCCCCCGTCCCACCCCAGGATCTGTGTGCTCTGATATGCAAGTAGAGACTCCAAACTGCCAAAAATCTTTTAGTTTGTTTTGGAAGGAATTCTAATTTTCCATTTCAGTGACATGCCATTAACTGAGAAGCCAGACACTGAAAGTAAGAGTTAGTGAGAATTTCCAGGCTAAATTATGCCAGGAGCTCTCTTGGTCTTTGTTTGACCCAGGATCAGGGGATTAGAAAGGTGCTTCAGAGCCTTAGTAGAAGCCATGCTGGTTTGTACATGTCATATTGTGTTCACCTATGATAGGTATTTTATAACTTACCTTTATTGTGAAAATTACCTTTTATTAGTAAAGCTATGACTCTGAAATAAAAATGGGAATATCATAACACATAGTACAGATATAATTAAATGTACTGGGACAAACGTCCTACTTTGAAGCAAGACCAGCTACAGTAATCTTTATTTAATCATTTTATTCCC